AATGTTACTTGGTTTAGTTCACAGGCTGTTTCTTCGGCTTTGGTTGCCAGTTTGTCGAGGATGGGAATAGGTATTTGTACTTTAAAAGAAGCTTCATGTGGGCCCTTGATATTAAAGATTGCTGCATCAATTTTTGGTTCAATCCACACTGGTTCTTCTTCAGCTGGCAATTTGGGGAAGGTTTCGTATGTGTGTTTGAGTGTGTCTCTAAGCAAACGATCTTTATCATGTAGATTAAAATTGTTAGGATTGCGATATTCACATTTTTTATCTTTGCATAGGAGGGTATGAAAGTTGGTAGTGGCTTCAGCTTACAAGTGCTTGTTCTCAGACTTGGCATAAGTTACTGAATCTAGGTGAATCTGAATTGTAGGTTTAGACTGCTCTAGTGTCAATCTCTTGAGGATAAAATAGTTCTAAGGAAATAAATAAAGCATCTAGAACTTTTTGACTGACAATTGTATCAAAGATATCCTGGTAATACAGGTTTAGTTGCATTGCAGGGGGTTTAAATAGATAATATCTGTAGTTAGATTACAGGTACGGCATCTAGTATAGAACCTATATAATGTACAGGCGGACTACTTAAATTAGATACCAAAAGTGTACGTGTGGCTAGTATGTACTCTCTAATATAGAGATTCTCTTAAGAACCCTTTGCTATATATACTTGAATAAAAATCCTAGCTTCCAAGAGGGTAGACATTAAAAAAAAAAAAAAAAAAAAAATATTTGTCTAACTATTTTTTTGTCCAAGTTAGATGATGTTTTTATTATTGGCAAATAATCTAATAATTGCTTTGCATTCTGTTTATTTTTGCACCAAGTAGATATATTGCCTAGTGACAAATATATTGGATAAAGTTGAGTTTTGCCTAATGTATTACAATTTGTAGCATCAGAATATAAAATAATTGATAAAATTTTTGAGCCTATTGGTAAAGTAGTCTTTCACTATATTCTATTATTTTGCTTTTTATAAATATTCTCTTTACTATTCTTTAAAAAAAATAAATTAATTGGTGATTCACCAGCCAGCCAGTGAGAGGTCATAGTGTAATGTGACGTGGTTTACTTATAGAAATTAGAGTTTTGCGAATATGGGCTGCATCATTCTAAAACTTTTTTTATACTAAATTAACTACCTTTGGGCTTCTAATTAAAGTTGTAGAGCTCATTGAGAGGAATCTAATGGTGGTTGAATCATCAAAATCGGCCTTGTAGATCATGAGATATCTTCAAAAAACGTTTTGCCAACTATGTAAAATTTTCTTTGTTGAAAGAGATAATTTTACATAGTCAGCAAAACGTTTTTCGAAGATATCTTGTGATCTACAAGGCCAATTTTGATGATTCAACTACCATTAGATTCCTCTCAACGAGCTCTACAACTTCAATTAGAAGCCCAAAAGTTAACTTAGTACAAAAAAGTTTAGAATGATGCAGCCTATATTCACAAAACCCTAATTTCTATAAGTAAACCACACCACGTTATACTATAACCTCTCACTGGCTAACTGGCGAATCACCAATTAATAAAAAATCAATATAAATATTTTAATAAATAAAATTAAAATTTACCTCAGTAGTTTTATATAATTCTTTAAATTCAAGCGCAAAATTTTGTAATATGTCAAGTATTTCTAAAATATTCTTAATACAACTGATTAATAGTATATAATATAAGAAATACTCAGTATTATTATATTCTAATACTTTAGTTTTCTTATATGACAAGTTAGATTTCATATTGTTTATAAACTGCTTTTTTTGTGCAATATTTTTTGGTAATAGTATATAGAATGATTTGAATACTTATTAAAAAATGAAATAATTGTATTTTTAACTACATTACTTAGCTTATATTTTGTAATCAAAACCATCAAATCAGTATAAGCTTCATTAGAAAATGTATCATATTTCTGATTAGTTTCATCATTTGATGAATTATTTTAAATATCTTCAGAAATTTCAGTATTATTATAAATTTCTTTAGAAAGTTCTCTATACTCTTGTAAAGTATTTTCAAAATTTTTAAGAATATTAGTATTATTTTTTTCTAATTCAAAGGATATATCTTTTAAATACTTAGAAGAATCTTTTATATTATATAAATTTGGAAAAGAAGCATAACCTTCAAAATTATTTTGATTGGATACAAATTTATTAAATGATTTTGAAGTATTGTAAAATTTAATATCTTTGAATGAAATTCTTTTAGAAGAAAATTCACTATTTAATTTAATTTCAGTAATATCGAAAAGATCTTCTTGAATATATTCAGCTTCTATCAAAGTATTGTGAATAATTTCAGGACTTTTAATTACAGAAAGTTCATCATCAACAGAAAGAATACATTTAGACATATACTTACTCAATCCACTACAAGTTAAAAAAGTGCAGTTGCAAAATGAACACTTAAAGCTAGATATTTTTAGTAAATAGAATTTTTTATAATTATAATAGTTAGCGAATAGTTTAAAATATTTTAATAATAAATAGAAACAATAATCAAAAGAAAAGTGAAGTTTTAGCTTATTTATATTTTCTAAAAATCCAATTAATTTTTTTCTTAAAGTATTTAATTTTTTACGTTAATTTTATTTATTTCTTTAAATTTTATTATTTTTTAATATTTTAAATATATACGAAATTATTAAAAATATACAATTTTAGAATCAATATACTAAATAAATTTTTATTTACTAATAACTTAAAAGTTAATAAATTATTCTATTCATTATAATAGTTATTGTTACTTTAATTATTATTATGATAGTTATTGTTACTTTAGTTATCGTTATGATAAAATTAGCTTAGTAATCATTATGATAAATTTAGTTAATATTATGATAAATTCTGGTATTTCATTTTAAATAAACTAAATTATACGAAAATACTTAAATATTTGTAAATATTTTGTATTTAATTTTGTTATGTTAACTATTTAATTTGTTTAAATTTTTTCTTCATATATTCGAATATATTCAAATAATTTAATATTATATTATAAATAAACTAAAATATTAATAATTTTCTTAAATTATTCTATTCGTTATGATAATTTAAAAATTAATTATTTAAAATATTTAAATAATCTAAATTGTTTTGTATTTTTAAATATTTTTTTGCTAAATTGCAATAAATAAGTTATTTTGCAAAATTTATTCAATTAGTATATATATTAATTTATTAATAAATTGTTAATATATATTAGTAATTTTAAAAAAAACCAATTAACAGATAATTTGAATATAAAATTAATATGTTAATTTTGTTCTTAAAGTATCTAATTCGTTATGATAAAGGCAGTTGCACTTATTATATAATATTATTTTATTAGAAAGCTACTCCTCTCCCCCACATCAGATTTATTAGCCAATCAAAATCAATATAATATATATATATATTATATACTACATAAAATTTCTTTAACCTCCTCTTCTCCTCTTGATATTATGTAATAAGTGCTACTCCCTAACTTTAAATATTGTCTATACAATTATTTTGAAAAAATACAAAATTATATTAAATATAAATTAATTTTATGAATTCATTATGTTAATTTTTATTTGTTTATACTAATAACTAAATTATATATATATCTGCAGTAGAATTACATATCAAAAATTAATTAAATGTATTGTATCCCTTAATCTATAGATCATTTTCAAGCAAATTTGCCTGAAAATTTTTACTATTTGTACCGTCATACTAAATTGCACTAACCCTTAACAGAATTGTCAAAAATTGTTATTTACGTCATAACCAAGGCCCTGTACAAGTTACAGCATCATATTTTATCCGTTTAGCAATGTACGTATGTACTGTAGTATTGAAAAATCTTTATTAAAAAATTAAAAATCCTGCTATCATTGCTTTGCTCACGTGAAACATTCATCATTCCAAAAAAAAGCATATTTTTTTTATTTCATTTCTTTTTTGGCCTCTTTTTCGTTTCTCCTTTTATTAACTCCATTTAATTACTTTCACGGCTCTCTAAATTCAGCTGTTTTCTATCGACAATTGCTAACTTATTTGCTTTAGAGATCTTACTGCGCTAATACATAGTCATTTAAGTTGTCCTATTTTTCTTTTGTAACAATTAGAGCCAAGTCAGCATGCTTTATGAATTTATCTGAATTAATAATTAATAGTTACAGTATATACGCATATACACTTACTCAAAGCTTAACATATTGGACTAGTAGTAAGATATTTACAATTTTATTCTTTTGCAATACACAATTCAGGTATTAAAATTTCAGATCAGCTTTATTATTTATTTAATTTGCCTTACTTTTATTTATTTAATTTGCCTTACTTTTATTTATTTATTTGCCTGGTCTTTATATTTTTCTTTTGCCTTATCTGCTTTTTTTATTTATTAGTTTAATTATTTTGCTTATTTTTTTTTTTTTTTGTTTTTATTTAATTTTTTTATTTATTTTTTTTTTTTAATGTTAAAAGTAAAAATTCATTAAGTTTAGAATCATGCATTACTTAGCTTTAGATACAAAAAATATCAAACAATAGTCCAGAAAATTAATGGTTGACATAAAACATGAAAGGGTTAAAGATTTAGTTATCATAATTTTTGGAATGAAAGTCTCTAAAACAATGCGGTCTTGATTTAGAACAATATAACGGTACTTTACATTTAGTGTACCACAACTAACTTTGTGGTGGGTTATTATAATTAATCACTTTTTCACCACATAGTGATAAATAATAACAATAAATGCAAGCTTCTTTTTTTTTCTTCTATTCAACTAAATGATCTCTATCCAATAATCGAGTTAACAGTAATTCAAAATTTTTAGTAACATGAGCGGTGTGCTTTCTCTTTGACGGTGCTTGAGAGGACATTTCATCATAAGAAGATTTTTTTTTTTGTTCATTACTTAATGTATCTTTAATCAAATCCCATGCCAAATTAATTCTGAATTTTTTACTTGAAATATTTGAGTTAGTAACTCTGCAGTAGAGAAGTACACAGTTTACAAGTACAGTATCTAAAATCAAGAAAAATAGAGAAAGCTATGTATGTCTAACTGTCAGTTGACAGTTGTAGTATCTATGAAGTTGGTTAGCGATATCAACGCCACCCATGTAACGATTGTAGTCATCGATTATTCGTAGAATTTCTAATTCTTTTTAATATGTATCTTCAAAAACACAATGAATAGTACTTGCATTAGAACTTGTTTCATATAGACTTGCCAGTTATGAGTAGCTTTAGAATTATCACCAAAAATTTCATGAATAGTGAACAACATAGTTACTGGGCCATTATTTATCTAGAGAATGACCAAAACATCATCAACTACTTTTCCTAAAAGTGTGTTCCAATCTAAAAGCGAATCTTTGATAATTTTTAACTCTTTGAGAAACCTAGCTGAATTCGTATAAACAGTACCGCAGGCGCCAACACTATTTTTACGTAAATATTTAAAGAGCAGTATGTTAAAAAAGTAGTTATCTATATACACATAGTATGTTTTATCATGAGGAAGCTTTATTACTAAGGCCGAGAATAGATTCTAAAGATGTATTTTTTTAACACATGAAGTAAACAAAAATGCCCATGTATATCCACGATCACAAAGTGAGATTATTTTGTAACCTTCTGGTGTCAGTTTGTTTTTCATCCTTACTGTGTAAGTGCTTCGTCTGGAGAAGCGTACAATCATCTCATTAATAGAAATATTTAAGCTAGGTATATAAAATTTCTTAACTGTCTCTTAAATATGTATCACCAACGGTTCTACTTTAGAATATCAAAAAAGATGCAATTTACTAGAAGACAAAATATCTTTATTTGTTGAAACCTAACCATACTTATAAATCTTCTAATCTCATGTGATGCCTTTTTTTTATCCTGATTCCATAAATCTTCGACAGCATTAATTTGATAAACACCCATGTAAATAATCAACCCAAGCCAAATTTTTAACTCACTTAAAGTTAACGGACTCCATGAACAACCTCTTTTTCTACCCTTTACTTGTTCATATATATTAGTATTCTCAACTATTGTCTGCAATTGTTTAGTGGTAAAAAACAACTGAAAAAGTGCAAACGGAGTAACGATTCCAAGTTGAAATTCGTAAGAAAGTGTTGCATATCCTTTATGAAGTAGATAAAGGTCTTGCATAGAATTAAATATAGGATATTCTAACACTGGTAAAGCTGTATTGGTATTGATATTACTAGTTTGCATCTCTTCATTACTTTTACCCTTTCCTTTATTTATCATCTTTCTTTTTCTTTTACCTCTTTCTCTGCCTCTCATGCTATTTCTTCCTCTGCCCCTTCCTCTACCCCTACCCCTTCCATTTCTACTTTCACTTCTGCTACTACTTCCTATATTTATTTCTATATTCACATGGTCTTGTTCATTAAATTCTTGCTTATTATCATTGGCAATTTCTACAAGCTCATAATCAATAATCAATTCATCATGGTAATCATGCTCAAAAGTAACTGAATATTGCGGATTAGAATTCTTGTCATCAGAAGACATGGAATGATTTGTTCTTAAAAAAAAAGAAGCAAACTTGTAAAGCGCAATGAAAGATATAGGATGCGAAACGTAAAAACATGATAGTTATTGTAGACAGTTTATCAAAAAAAAATGTTGCGATCAAAAAAAAAAGAATGTAGCAATTAAAAAAAAAAAAAATGAAGCAATTAAAAAAAAAAAATATTGCATTCAAAAAAGATAATTGACAGGGTTAGAAGATAGTCTGTTACTATCTTAATTCAATACAGAACATACCATCACTTTTACAACCCACAACGAGTAAGATTTTTTGTTATCTATTACTTGAGCGAAATAATTAATCAATTTTGAAACCTTTATTTTTATATTTGTTTTCATACAAGCAATAATTTAGCAACATCTAAACTAGGAAACAAACGTATGTATCTGAATTACTTCTTATGATTTAATCATATATTTTACTCTAAACACCCAATTGTCTAAATATCTTAACACACACTGATATCATCATGACAATACATTAAATTGATTTAGATAAGGTAAAGACAAAGAGCAAAGACCTGATATGTTATTTTTCTTTGTTCATGACTATGGGATTATCATTATCAAAGGTAAGACTCTATTGTATTAATGTATATTTTTTTTACAAGTGTAGAGCATGCGTATGTATGTGTATATACTTATGTATATACAATATGTATGTATATATACGTACAGTACGAAAGGTTGACAACTTTAAAGTAAATGCATGATTTTCAAAACCGGAAGAACCTGACCAATCATTTAATAAAGTTTCCAGGCAAATTTGCTTGGAAAATAGTACATGATTTATTTCAAATCAAAGTTGGATATAAATGTTTAAGATCAATAATTTGGTATACAAACACAATTGTCAATCTTAAATATTTATATCCAACTTTGATTCAAAATAAATCGTAAACTGTTTTCTAGGCTCTTCTGGTTCTGAAAAATCATGCATTAGGGGCATTTACTTAGTGCGATTTGGTACTACAAGAATATTTGTTAACCAAATTAAAAATTCTAGACAAATTTGTCTAGAAAACAGTTTAAGGAATAATATTTTATAATTAAACATAATAAATAAATTTTTAATAGAAATAATATAAAACTCTAATAATAAAATGAAAATATGAGAAAATTACAAGATGAAATAAATAAATACATAAATATAAATAGAAAATAAATCAACAATCAATATCTAAAATAGATCAACAATTAGCATATAAAATAGATAAACAAACAATATTGTTTTGATAAATCACAAATTTGCATAATAATCGCATCTTTCAGCATTTTTATATTTTAAATTTATGTTACTTGGTGTATATTCACAACTTTTACAATATTCGCAACTATTCGCATCTAATAAAATTATCGCAAAACTCACTAAAATTAAGACTAAAGAAAATTTTAATAATATTAAGCTATATTTTTTTCAAGTTCTCAAAATCTCTTGTTTTTAACTTTTTAACTGTTTATTATTTTAACATTTTCAAAATCTTTTAGCTTTATTTTTTTCTTTATTCTTTTTTTTATAAGTTACTACTAACATTTATTGTCTTTTTTAATTTACAACTATTTTCTTTAAATTTTTTTAGTTTTATTTTATATAAGTCACTAGTAACTTTTTTTGAGCTATTTTATTTTACAATTATTAAATTGGATAATATCTATTTAAATTTTTATTTTATAATTTTAATTGATAATTCGTGAGTCACCTGAAGAAAATGATTGATATGTATTAAATAAAAATAACGCAAATTATATAATAAAAATCCTAATACAGAAATGTGAGATTTTTTATATATATAATGTATACGTATATACGAACATATAATACGTACAATACACTAAATGCTATATATATGTACTGTACGTACATACGTATATAAAATATATCCCAAGTTTTACTTTTATAAAATAAAATATAAATACATACTAGCTCTAAATGCACACTCAACTCCAGGTCCAAATATATAACTACAAATGCATTTTTCTAAATGCATATTGTTACAGTTCGATCCCAAGAGCATGCATTTATAGAGATTTTACTGTATATTGTTTTCTCTTAAGTAGAAGATATAGTGCTCTGGGTACTTTAGACGGATCTGGTTCATTTCACTGACAGTCAATTCACTAATAGTACGATTCACTAACAATTTACCAAAAGTTTATTTTACCGAATTACATTTTACTGGCAAGTTTTTTTTTTATAAATTGTATTAACCTTAACTCTTTTCTAGATCTTACCCAACGACAATGATCAAAATTAGTTTGGCAATAAAATAACTACCGGTAAATTGTATTGTTAGTGAAATAAACTTGTCGGCGAATTGTACTGTTGGTGAAGTGATTTTTGGTGAAATTATTGGAATCGTTTTAGATAGAGTTTTATAGTAAGATAATTGTGCTTTATGAAGTTTTTGTCTCAAGATCACTGTATAGACATCAAAGCATTATACTAATATAACTTACCTGAGTATTATTCTGTTTTATTGAGTTAAACTGGCTATTTTTGTAACGATCGTTTAGGGACTAATCTGATCCTTCACTACCCAAAGATACTGAATATTCTAATGGCAGTAATACTTTATTTTATAGCTTAAAATAGTTATATTTTGTTAAAACCTTGCTAGTTTAAAACCTACCCAATATCTGCTAGTTAGAATTGTCTAGTTTAAAAACCTATCAATTAATAATCTTAATATATATAAAACCAACATTTAACAAGTTCAAATAAAATTTATTTTATTTATTAATTTTATATTATATAAAATATACATTTATCAATTTAAATACATATCGTATAATTTAATTTATCTTCAACCAAGACCTGAACCCATTCCAATTCTAAACTAGCTCTATTTATAATTAAAAAAAAAGTATTTCTATTTCTAAACCTAACTTTAAATCTAACCCAATATTATGCACTTCATAAACGATACTTGTGTTTTTGCGGAGTGTACTTATTAATACTTTTCCAACATCTAATCCAAGACTTATTAAAAAAAAACTAAGTTAGCATAATGTAGCAAAGTCAAAGTGATGTTCTTGTAAAGTGCGTCTGCTAATGCTTTTCCGATATCTTATCTAAAACTATTATAAAAAAAAAAACAAAAAAGTTAATATAGTGCAATGAAGCCAAAGTGATGTTAGGTGTTTTTGTAAAAACGTATTAGCTAATATTTTTCTAATATCTAATCCAAGATTATTGTTATAAAAAAAAACCCCCAAAAAATAGTATAGTGAGTGAATTCTGGTTTCTTGTAAAGTACACCTGATGCTTTTCAGACATCTGATTCAAAACTATTATTAAAAAAAAAAAATTAGTATAGTGCAGTGAGATCAAAATCATATTTGATGTTCTTGTAAAGCATACCTACTAATGCTTTTC